TGGCCGACTCTCGTGTTTGTCTGCGGCTACACCCCATTTTTTTATAAGATACAGTGGTTATAAATACGTTTTATCGCCTTTTATTGTTCGCTGGAATCAAATTACATCAACAAGAACGGCAATTTTAGTAATTACTGATTTACTGATGTAATTCTTCATATGGCTAAAAAAATGTTTACAACCGGGCATGTCTTCTGACCTCTGTCCGGTGCGCTGGCACCGGTATCGAAGTCAGGTCGTGTCATGACGGGAGTCTCCCGGCTGAGACGGGGAGAGACTTGGGACCGTCCTGGGGTAAAGACACCAAAATTATGCCTCTACGATATTTAGAATTTTAGTTATTCAAACAAAATAAACCAATTTCATTGGCGGCCATCTTGAAATCCAAGATGGCCGCCATCCTATGTTTCTCTAAGTGTGATAATTGGGTTCTCCACTATCGAAAATGTGGGCATAGCCACCAACATTATGTCTCTACGACGTCTGGGAGTCCAGATATTTCAGTAAATCCATTTTCGCTGGCGGTCATTTTGGATTTCAGCTCGTGAGCGAAGACCGCAGTGGCAGTTGCGCAGTCAATCTGGCCGCAGCGGAGAGCCGGCTGTCGGCGGCCGAGACACCCGAGCCGGAGAGGTTGGCCGCCGAGGAGGAGCTGGCGGCGGCGCATCGGTACCGCACCATCGCCGACAGCGTTGACCGCACCATCGCCGACAGCGGCGATAATTATTGTACCATCGCCGACAGCGTCGAGCGCAGCCTTGCCGAGCTGAACGAGGCAAGCCGCACGCTGCTGGAGGTGACTTTGTGTTTCAACTAACTTTGTGTATTCTACTTACCCGTGTGTGAAAATGTTTTGTATTTATGATGGGACTGCCTGACTGCTTTTAATGTGTCAGGAGGTGAGGAACGCTGTAGAGCGTCACAGGTGTCTGGAGACGCGGCCGAAGCAGCTGTCGCAGCAGCAGAGCAGCAAGCCGTCGGCGAGCACCAGCACCAACGATAGGACCAGGTAGGGCCATAATAAAAATATTGTGTGTTTGCCCTCACCCGACCGACCCGCCAAAAAGGGGCCGTTTCAAAAAAAAATTTTATTCATCTATTTTTTCCTTTTTTTTAAAAACAAATTGTATCACTGTACATTATATAAATCTGTAGGCAATACATTATATGTACCAAGCAAAACAAACATTCAACATAAAAGATATCTCCACACAAGCACACCCGAGCATGTAGACACCATGCTGAATTTGTAAAAAGACCCTTGCCCTAAAAAAAACGCCGACCCACCTACCCAAACTTTTCAGCCTGGGTCGGGTGAGGGCAAACAATAATTTTTTTAATTGTGGTCTAAACGTCGACTCGCTTGGCACTGTTCGCTCTGTAGACTCGTCATTGTCTCGAGTCTCTTTTTTACGAGGTTTTGCATCCTATTCGTGTTTCCTAGTGAATGTGTACACGCACGTTTGCAATGTTGGTTTCCAACTCGCCGTCTTGTCCTGATCCTTTTGGCATTTTCTCTTATGAATCGTCATTTTCAGCTCGGCCTCAGAACCTCCAACTGCTAATATAATGCCAATCGCGACGCCAGCTGCTGCCCAAAAGCATGCCGCAGCAGTGACGTCTGTGTCATCGGGCTCCTCCTCCAAGGCAGCCACGCCAAATGCCAGTATCCGACCAATGGCAATCAGCAGTCAGCAGACGCCTACTGCAACGGTGATGCCAACACCGTCGTCTGTTGAATTCCACAAAGAGCAGATAACTGGTAAGTACAGCTCATGCCACTCGACTGTGAAAATAATCGGTTCCCATAACCTCTATATATTTCCATTAGTGTGAGATTTTACAAATACTCGTACGTAAACGTAAAATTTTATTTATTAAAGGCTCAGAGCAAAATGCTGGAAAACGGCCAAGAGAAGCTGCTTCAGGTAAACCTCACACGCTGGTATTAAACGTCATCAACCTGAGTCATTATAGATAAAAACTGACCAAGAAATTAGTATTTTTACTCCCCTTTTATTCAAGGTCATGTACAAATTGTACCGGATGAATAATTGTCATAATTTTGCAGTTGCACTCTGATTATTCACTAACACTAATGAGTTATCCATTTTTCTAATGCCACAGAGGCGATACCAATGAAACGAGTAAGGGCTGAGGTGAGGGCTGAGGTGCTCTCCGATGCGGGAGACGTGCACGCGACTGCTGAAGCTATAGTGGAGGAACCCGCGGAAGAAGGTGAAGGAGGGGAGCGTTCCGAAGACGACGTTGTTCAGCAGACCGGTGACGAGGTTGAGTTGGAAGGAGACCGGCAGGATGAGCGCGAAGGAGACATCGACGGCCAGTCACAGGCACAGCCCGGTGATGGAGGAGAGAAGAGGCCCGCACAGAGGAAGCGCCTCATGTGGACTGAGCCAAGCGAGCTCGCAGCATCCGCAGCGTCTGCGCAGCCCCCAGCGATCCCACTATTGACGCAGCCATTGCCCGTTCAACTGGGAAAGCCCCGTGGTGGCATGCCGTTAGGGCGTGGCACAGCTCAGTCGCAAAGGGTAATGCCAAGTCAGCAGCAATTGGCACAACAAATGGGAATGCTACAATTTAGAATGATGCAACAGGTGCAACAATTTAGGCAGCAGCCGGTGTACCGGTTAAGGCCCATGCTGTAGAGAGGTATATATCTCTAGTCTCTAGGTCTCAGGGAAGAGATAGTGATCCACTAGATGGCGCATTATTAGTTTAAATAAGTTGTGGATGTAGAAATCAGTTAACTCTAACCCTAACCCTAACCCTAACCCTAACTCTAACCCTATCCCTAATTCTAAAATAAAACAATATTAGCTAAAAATAATATATAATAAAATAAATAAGAGACAAAATTAGCCAATCAGAGCCGTCCCCTAGCGGATCACTATCTCCCCTGTGCAAAATTTGTTGGTAAATTGATTTGAACTTTATCCTCATAGGCGGAGTTAATTCCCAGCAGGCAAAACGACGTCCAAAAGACGTCTTTTAGACGTCTTTTTTCAAGTCCCGAATGTGGTCGAAAATGAAAGGCCCATCGACGTCCGTACGACCAGTTTTCGACCAGTTTCGACCAGTTTTCGACCAGTTCGCGACCAGTTTGCGACCAGTTTGCGACCAGTTGTTCACGACCAGTTCACGACCATTGCTTCTTCAATTGCTAATTACATGATTTAAACCATGATTTTAGTTTTCCAAATTTCGAACTTGTACATTCAATATACATCATTCTATCCCATACACAAACCATTACCAACACACAGTCCTTTTCATCGATTAAAACTGCAAGAGATCGAACATACTCTTACATTATCATAACCACAATCACTATAACAATCCTGTTCAATCACACCCGCGCTATCGGCGCCCGGCCAGCGCGTTTGAAACTGTACAACTGATTCATATGACCTATACTGGATTAGAACATTTCACTTATGTACACCAGCAGACTGATTTGGACAAACTTCAATACACGTTGGCCTATCCAGGCGTAATCAGTCACTTACTTCAACTACCACCCCCACCGTGCCAGTCTCACTCTAGCATCTCGTTAACACTTGCATGATCAACTGGAACATATTATTGCTCTCTAAACCGACACACACACACCACATTCAAACCTCCGATCGTAATCGCGAAGTATGTGTTACAACAACCCGGTCATGTTAAAAATTTACGAGTTCGGCTACGGCGTTCCGCGACAACCGGATTCGCCCTAGCCTCCAGGCCCTTCACGCGTCCCGACACTCACTCACACCAGTCGATCATCGCCGCGACTAGCGTCCACGCATGATTGTGCAACGGGACGCTGCTGCCTGCCGTCTATCCTCCTTCATCCGTCTCTCCTCTCTGTCTCTCTCTTCACTACCGCGCGCACACGCTCTCTCCCGTTCTCCTATTTTCTCACACACACCACACCTCTCTGAGGCTCTCCTCTCTCCTCACACACACACACCACACACTCGCCGCACAGCTCTAATCTCTGCTCCTCGTTCTCTACTTTCTCACACACACACCTCTCTGAGGTCCTCTCTCTCTCCTCACCACACAACACCGACACACCACACACCACACACCACCAACACACTCTCTCGGAGGTTCTCTCTCTCGTCTCTCCTCTCTCCTCCTCACAACACACGACACCACCACACCACACCACACCATCACGGCGCGCACCAGCTCTCTCATCATCTCGTTCTCTATTTCCTTCACACACACACCTCTCTGGAGCGATTCTCTCTCTCTCTCTCTCTTCTCTCTTCTCACCACACACACACCACACACAGCACACCCACGACACACACCGCACCACAGCATTCTCTCTCTCGCTTCTCGTCATTTCTCACACCACACACCTCTCTTGCGGCTCTCTCTCTCTCTCTCTCTCTCCTCTCCTCTCTCCTCTTCTCCTCTCTCACCCACCACACACACCACACCACGCCCGCGCCGACAGCCCTATCTTCTCTCTCGCTTCTCTACTTTCTCCACACACACACAACCTCTCTGAGGCTCCTCTCTCTCCTGCTCTCTCTCTCACCACACACACACTCACGCGCGCCAGCCTCTCTCTCTCCTCTCTCTCTCGCTCTCTTATTTCTCTCGACACCACACCCTTCTCTGAGGCCTCTCTCTCTCTGCTCTCTCTCGCCACCCACATCATCATCCTTCTCTGATCCGCTCTCTTCTCTCTCTTCTCTTCGTACGGCTACACACAACTCCCTCCCTTCTCTCCTTTCTCTCTCTCTCTCCGCAGTACCACCCCATACCTACACCTCCCTCCCATCTCCTGCTCTCTCTGCTCTCACGCACACGCCACACACACCCCACGACCACCGGCCAATCAGCAGACTCGCCATTGCCGGAATCCATGCGTGCTACGCTGTCGCAAGCTCACTGTGTGAGATGGCATCGTCGACGCGTAGTTCTTTTCTAGCGGGCTCCTCGTCCGGAACGCCCGGTCAACGTAGCCACGGCTAAAATTTCCAATGTCAGCAATGCTCCGTCATGCTACCCGCAATTCCAAAACATACAAAGACCGACGCACTACAACCACGAAAGTTGAACACGCGACAACTATGAATACCCGATGGAAACAATGATCGAGCGAACATTCCGATGTAACTTCTATTAATGATATCACTTTTTCAGATTAAAAAGATAACCCTGGCCGTTAGCATAGCTAGTGTTACAAAACTCCTTTAGTGTAGACCTTGCTCAGTTTGAAACAAGATCTTGAGGAAAGGCTTTCCTTCGAAAATCTCAAAATTTAAACTTCGGCACAATTGCAGGTATGTCCTTAACGAAACTTTCGCAATTTGGTTGCCCGAATTTAAATTGGCCCGCATACCATTAGCATGACCTGATAAATATCCATGAACATATATATATAAGTAGAGTTCTCATACTGAGCTAGCAGTCTATTGCTTCCTTCCGCTCCTGGGGCATGCTTCACAACCTGCTCTCAATGCTAGCTGTTGATGTCACACGGTGGTTCGTATGAAAACTTCCCGTACTGACACAACTTTACTATAACAGCAAGGGTAAAATCAAAAGTTAGTCTGCGTGCTTCACATACAGCAAAACAGAATACCACCCCACGGCACGCAGCGCACGGCCACGCACGCACGCACCACACTACACACATATATGATATACACTCTACTCTAGCCTCACACCCACAACAACCACGACTCCCTTAAGTAGATAATGACAGACAATAAGGCTTATCATTCATAAAACCATTGATTCGCACTTCAGCTCTTACCACTGATGACAACAGCTGTAGAGGATCAGTGCTAGCAAATCCCCTCTATGACTCCACGCTGAGCCTGACATGTTGAACTAACCATTATCCCCATTTTCGCCTGAAGAGGCTGATGATAAAAGAGACAATCGTAAGTTCTTCCCAAAAAGTATCTTTTTTGAAACTACCCCACCCGCTCTCTCCCCAACATGTCCAATGGATTGGCCCCGCCAGTGTGCTTCCCACGAAGTTTATCTATTGGATTTAACGTCATTCTAATTGTCTCCTTATCCTTTTATCTATGGTCACAACGCTGGGTCTGCTTGCCGCCACACATATCCAACTTTGCTGTCAAACATATCCGCCGAACACAGGTAAAGTGTTGAATATCACTTTCTTCGACATATTGAGTAGAATATTACACAGTTTAAACACTATGCTAAAACGCTGTTAAAAAATAACAACGGTTGTCATACTCTTCCTCCTATTATGTATCTTCAGACTCTTGTATGTATCAATTATATACTATCATGCATGATGAATTACTGACTATGTCACCGCGTATCTTCACAGCCAGTATACTATATATAGCCTCGCCCCAAATCGTCGAATGCTGAGACATCCAAACCTGAAAAACCTTAACCAACAGGTCGCTAACACATTCTTTAATCAACATAATGATCAGTAATAGTATAATATATTAGGTCTATATCAATGGGAATCCATCACATACTGACGCAACTACTATCATCGCTATGCTATACACGACATATATATAGTACTATATATATTATCATATATATACTATACATATATATCTATTATATATAATGTATAGTACAAAGACGTGGGCCCGCTGTTTCATGAATACTAATACGCTAACGCAGCAAAAACCAAATTCACTCGCCGCTCAGATGCATCCATTGGGGCATGCGAGAAATCAGCGTCTACGATATACGCTCTAGGTATATGCTCTAGTGCTACAGTCATCCTATACGCTACTCTAGCCTGAGTTCATTAACTGCCGCATGTTAGGTTCAATTACCATTAGACTACATAATCGTACCCAAAACACGCAGGCATAGGTTAACAAACGCGGTGTCATGGTTTCTCTGGAGGAACCCTAGATAACAATAATGTAAGCCAACCAAGAGGACTAGGGTTACACATGTGTCCCTGTCCCTTTCCTCGCGGGAGGACACTGCCCGAGTGAACTCCTCCGGGCCGGGTTCTTGACTGCTGATGCGTTCCTTCACGAGACATAGACACTATCCAACCTGGGATTTCACTTCTCAACACGAACATTTGCTCCGCTAATCTCGGGAACTTACTTCTAGCGTATCGCTATCCTCTGCTAATTAAACTATCATAACCTCGTTACACATAAGTGCGAACCGNGAGAGAGAGAGGTGTGCGTGTTTATGTTGTGTGTGTGACACAGAGAGAGAGAACCAGAGGGATCAGGCATGCTCAGCGAAAAGCCGTTGGACCAACGTTGGCAATCTGACGTTGGGCCAACGTTGGCACGCTGAGCAAAAAGCCGTTGGGCCAACGTTGTCAATATGACGTTGGACCAACGTTAGCACGCTGAGCAAAAAGACGTTGGATCAACGTTGGCAATATGACGTTGGGCCAACGTTGGCTGACGGCCGTTGGGCCAANAGAGAGAGAGAGAGAGAGAGGCAGATAGAGACAGAGCGAGCGAGCGAGCGATATATTGAGAACTATAGGGCGAAGAAATAAGAGAGCGGAAAGGACAATGAGCGGAATAGAGAATGGTGGAGAAAAGCAAAAAACAGAGAACCAGAGAATGGAGAACATATATGGGATATGGGAAATGGAGAAAAGCTCGAGAAGCAGAACGTGGGACAGACAAAGCGGAGAATTCATAGCATGTCTCGCACTCCAGGTAATATTTACAGGCTGACAATACACTGTTCTTTATCGGCAGCAGTATTTCGAATAAAGTGGCGATGATAAAACCCCACGTTCGCTAGATGACAAAAACGTTAATAATTACTCG